AAAATCTTTTTTCCCCTACAGACAGCAGCCTGCTTCACTACCCAGCCCTTATTCATGCAACAGAAGTTTCAGTTTGTGCACTGAATGAGGCAGGGTCCTGTGGAAAAAATAGGATGTGGTCATGTAATTAAATACTGTATCAAAATACATACACACAAACAAGCCAAAGCCTGTGTTTAAAGTAGCACAGACAGCCTCAATTCTGGCATTTTCCTAGCTTGGGAGAGCTTGATTGGGCAGCCATAATGTCCTTTAAATATAAGTTTAATGTGTTATTGTATATATTTGGTTGGTTTAGCATGAGATTGTTCTTGCATTTCTTTATTTTAGGACTAGGTTATAATAAGGCTGGGAAAAATATAGTTATTTTTCTTTATGCAAAATTAAACCAATTTATCTTTCATCCCTCCCCCAGAAGATCTCTGGTTACATCAGAAAGGTATACCCATACATTGTAGGAAAAAGATTTCCCCACCTGTCTGTGCATTCAGATTGCAAGCTAGCTATCTTGAGCTAGCTATCTTGTAAGCTTTACTAAACTGGACAAAGTTTACAATATGACATCTGTGATGCCGCTTACTAGCTCTTACTTTGTTTGTGATCAAAGCTCCCATGGTAAACTCTGTTCCCACTGCCCACTGAATAACTTCTTTTTTGAAGCTTGATATATGTGATGTTGAGTGGAAGAAAGACAACTTTATAGTGTTACCCAGTATGAAGCATTTTCTTGGATTGGCCACGAAAAACTCCTTCCTTCCTTTAAGCTGCCTCACCTATACTGGAAAAGCGGCGGGGAGTCCTGTGGCACCTTATAGACTAACTGAAGTGTAGGAGCATAAGCTTTCGTGGGCAAAGACCCACTTTGTCAGATGCATGTAGTGGATCTGACGAAGTGGGTCTTTGCCCACGAAAGCTTATGCTCCTACACTTCAGTTAGTCTATAAGGTGCCACAGGACTCCCCGCCGCTTTTCCAGTATAGGTGAGGCAGCTTAAAGGAAGGAAGGAGTTTTTCGTGGCCAATCCAAGAAAATGCTTCAAAGCTTACCAAGAGGGCTTTGTTTGGATGGAAGAGGGACACTTGCAGCAATGAGAAATCCACATTTTTAGTCCATTAAAAATTAGTCATTTGTTTGCTTGCAGAATTTTTCTTAGAAATTGTAAATCATTTCACAGAAATCTCTTGTGAAAACTAAAAATTGACATTTGAATACTCCATAATATCTTCACGCTTTGTCAAAAGTTTACGAGTACAATGAAGTTTAAGTGTCAGAGGTGGCCAAATAATTCTTGTAAAGATTTACAAATGAAAATGTTCGAATCAGTAGGCAATATTCTACTTCTCAGTCTAGAGAATTTAACCACACTCTAGAAAATATGATATGTGCATGATGCAAAATCCAACAAAACTGTCAGAGTTGGCATCCTTTTCCACCACTGCCGTATCTGTAACTCTTGGAATTTGTACTTCTCAGTGTTAGCTTGAGCATTAAGAGGAATACACTGTATAATGAATTAGAAGATTTACCCAGCATTGCTTGGGTCCTTCACTCAACCGTGGGTCCTTAACCTATAGAACTCCTTGCCAAAGGATGTTGTGAAGACCAGGACTTTTAGCAGGGTTCATACAAGAGTAATCCATCATAAATTAATGGAGAATAAGTCCATCAAAGGCTATAAGCCAGGATGGGGAAAAAAATTGTCCCTAGCCTCTATTTGTCAGAGGCTGTGAATAGGCGTCAGGGGATGATGATTACCACTTGATGCCTACCTGTTCTGTTCCCTCTGGGGCACCTGGCATTGGGCTACTGTCACAAGACAAAATATTGGGCTAGATGGACTTTTGGTCTGACCAGTATAGCCCTTCTTATGTTCTTGGATTCCCATGGTGTATGTAGGAAGTTTAGTTTTGTTGTCATTTTTGGTGGGGACAAGGTGGTTGCATATTAATATAGTCTTTGCAGCATGCCCGGGAGGTCCCTATTCACATGTCTGGTTGAAGTGGTGGCAACCCTTGATGGATGGAAAGTTTCAGTTGTGAGGGTTGAGATCTTCAATCTGTAGTGATGGAATTCAGTGGAAATACTGCTTTTGATTTCAGTAGGAATTGGATCTGTTCCAAAGAGTTGAGTTTGAGTTGTATGGATGTTTAAAACATTTTCATAGCAACTAGCATCAACACACTGTTCATCAAAACAAATGGTAGAAGCTGAAATCATTACATAGTCAACTTTAATTTCATTTATTTTATTAAAGGCTATGGGATTAAAATGCCTTCCTAAAGAGGAAATTCTATAAAATGGTGTAAGTATTTTAACAGTTTTAACTGGGATTTGAACTAAAGTGAACTGCAGTACATGTGGTGTGAAAAGGCAGTCATGACACATGTTTAATATGAAACTCAGGAAGAGGTCATGCTATTCTTTCCAAGGAAAGCAAAAGTAATTGTCTTAACTGTATTGGATGCTAATGATTAGTTTACTAAGTACTTCTACATCGGTTTTATTTTCATTGGGCATATTCTAGAATATAAATCAAAACAGCATGTATAAAGTAGTTATTTATTGATATCAGTAATCCTAATATTTTCTTTTCTCATTGCCAGGATCTTCAACTACAGAAAACCAGCTGGAAATAGAAGGAATGGCTAATTGTCTGCCATTCTATGGTATATCAGACTTAAAAGAAATTCTGAATGCTGTGATAAATAAAAATGCAAAGGAAGTACATGAATGTAGACCTCTCAAAGTGATAAACTACTTGGAGGTAAGAAACAGTAAGATTGCATGCGGGTACAATCATGATAATTTTGAGTAAACCAGTAAAGCCATTTGAAAGTCTTTCTTTCTAGCTCTTGTCATAAATGCAGTTCTATTTTGATGAAAGACTGATGATGATGATGATCAAGAAATAATAAAATCCAACATATTGTCTCTGTTGAATTGCCTGTGCATTGCTAAAAGGCATAAGAACATTTTTGTCATTTCAGTCATCAGATATGATCCTCAATACACTCAGGAAGCATATTTCAGTAAGAAAGTGCTTTTTTTATGTTGACTGTTTTCAAAATAGAAATGCAGTTAAATTACCAGGGGGAGGGATAGCTCAGTGGTTTGAGCATTGGCCTGCTAAACCCAGGGTTGTGAGTTCAATCCTTGAGGGGGCCACCTAGAGATCTGGGGCAAATCTGTCAGCAATGGTACTTGGTCCAGCTGTGAGGGCAGGGGACTGGACTGAATGATCTCTCAAGGTCCCTTCCAGCTCTATGAGATGGTATATCTCCATATATTATTATTATTCAATCTGAGACCTAATAAGACATAACATATAATAACTATAAAGAATCAGTTCTCCAGGATATACCACAGCCCTATCATAAAATTGTTTAGTTTCCAGAAAGTAGTTGGTTCCTTTTTTATGTATTACAGCCACAAATTCTTAATTCTTGTCAAGCTGTCTGGAGTGGTTCATGAACAGGGGTGCCAATCTCAGCACAGATTGTTTCAAACCAGAACACAGATCCCAAACTGGTTGTGTGTTCTGTAATTAGACTTTACCAACGAAGTATCAAGTGTAGACTCCTGAGGCACTATCACAGCCTTAACATGGAATCAGAGACCGTTCCCTTGGACACTCCAGTCTATCTTGCCATCTAGACAATAGATAGATTGTGCCTTTCACCAAAAATCACAACAATATTCAGGTTACTTCCAGTCCCAAATGGTCGGTCACATATTCCAGGTCAGTTGTACTAACTGTATCTCTCACCAAACATAATGTTTGTAGTCCATCCTGTAATAAACTAAAAGTGTATTAACTAGGAAAAAGAAATGAAAGGTATTTACAAGATGAAAACAGGTAAACATACACACACAAATAAATTGCAGTCTTAGGTTTCAAAAAGTTGCTGTAATGTGCAAGCTCTATATGTCCTTTAGGGCTAATCCAAGCTAAGTAACTCTGGATTCTTTGCTTATATTTCTAAATATCGCTCTCAAATATCAAGCAGCTTACTGATACAGATTCTTCTGGTCAGAGATTTTTATTCCTTTTCCCAAGTTCAGACTGTGAAGGGATGAGGGTTTGTGCACGTCCCCTCTTTGTGGGTGAATGGGGGTGGGTGCAAGGAGCAATCAATAAAATATTTTGTGCACTAATCTTCCAAAATGATTTGTCTGCTTTCTATGGGCCTTCTTTTATTGGGAAGGAGATGACATCACTTATGATAAACTAGTATTTCACACATAGTAATGCTTCTCTCCTGAATGTGGGGGTTTCCAATTTCATAGCATACACTTTTTATAATTACAAAGCAAACACTTAAACATTACCTAATAACACAGTACAAGGATGCTATATGAAATTAGGGTATGGAACAACTCACAAGAATTTCATAATGTCCAAAAATAAACACATCTCTATAAATCTAATACCTAATTTAGCAATTCTAACACACAAGTGAGCCAAACTGACTCCAAGCTGTGAATTTCATTCATCAATGTTCAGTGAAAGCTAGCATCTGGGCAGCTACTGTCATAGCTCCATTATTACTAGTAATTATTAAATGATTCAAGGGATCAATTTATTGAATGTAGACCAGAATCTACAATTTAAATAAACAATAGTAAGAAATACACAATTTCCAAACAATCTTAGATTGCACAGCTTTCATACAAAAATAAATACAGTAAATAACATTTCTACGATTCATGCCAAGAGCACCTTGAGAGAGTAGAGAGACAATGAAGGTAGATAAAATAATGATTAATAAAGAAATTTTCCTTTATTGCTACCCATAAAATTGAAGTATATAAATTTTAGTTGCATACATTGAGGGATAATAGTCTTATCTTTTAAAATTTGTGTTTTGTTAGCTTCAGGGCAAAGGAAAGAAGGTTTCTTTCTCCTCATACTATGGTATGCTCATGCCTCTCTACTACTTAACCCACTTTTCCCATGGTTACTCATCGTCTGTGTCTACACTGGCCTCCCTTTCGGAAAAGGGATGCTAATGTAGACTTTGGAATAGGCAAATCCGCGGGGGATTTAAATATCCCCCGCGGCATTTGCATTAACATGGCTGCCGCTTTTTTCCAGTTTGGAGATAAGCCGGAGAAAAGCGCCAGTCTAGACGTGATTCTCCGGAAAATAAAGCGGAAAATAAAAAAGCGGCAGCCATGTTAATGCAAATGCCGCGGGGGATATTTAAATCCCCCGCGGATTTGCCTATTCCAAAGTCTACATTAGCATCCCTTTTCCGGAAAGGGGTGCCAATGTAGACACAGCCACTCTGTATGCCCTGTTATGCACAGAAGAACTGCCAATGAACTCTTGAACCTTCAGAGGAACAAGGGCAGTGTGAAGGAAGACAGCAAGTGAAGAATATGATTAACATACCAAGTCAGCAATGCCACTTGAAAGAGACCGTAGAGTTTTGATGACGTTTATACTGAGAAGATAAAAATTCAGTTCAGGATTATTATCTGTAAGCAAACCATGCAGTTCCTAGATGTTGAATTGATATAAGATGACTTCAACCCATAGCATTTAAGTGTTAAAGCTTGATCCTTCCATAATGGTACTTTTCATTCATACTCTAAATTATTCCATTACAACATTCTTTTAACTTGATTTTTGAACACATAGTCATAGACCATATCTATTACTTAGTACAGCTATGTATATATAAATAGAACAGTGGATGAAGGAATGTAATTCTGTTTTAATTCTGTAGGCCAGTCCAAAAACCTGCAGAAAGGTTACCATAATGGTTTAGGACTTGATTCTGCATCAGGTTCTTTGTGAGGCTGAACATTGTCAGCTTTCAACGAAGTCAATAAGTTAAGGGACCTAAAAAGCTCAAAAAGTGCTCAGCATCTTGCAAGATTGGACCCTAAGGGTATGTCTACACTACTCGAACTAGCGGGGTAATGTAGGCATACCGCAATTGCAAATGAAGCCCGGGATTTGAATAAGCCGGCCGGCGCCATTTTTAAATGCCGGCTTGTTCGAACCCCGTGCCGCGCGGCTACACACGGCACGGGCTAGAGAGTTCGGACTAGCAAGCCATTCCGAACTATCTGTACACCTCGTTCCACGACTGATTCCTCCTTCTTCCTTTCTAACACATTCCTTTTCTTTTGTTCATTTCCCCAATCTCCCCTGTAGATAGTTCTACAGAGCTATGGGATTTATTGTAGTGATTCAGGGCTGGATGGAGAGCAAAATAAATTACTGTTGCTTAAAGCACAGATTGTTAACATGTAAATACTAAGAGGGTATGTCTACACTACCCTCCTATTTCGAAATAGGAGGGTAGTGTAGACATACCCTAAGAGAGTACAAACATAGAATCATAGAATTATAGGACTGGATGGAATCTTGAGAGGTCATCAGGTCCAGTCCTCTGCACTCATGGCAAGACCAAGACCATCCATGACAGGTGTTTGTCTAACCTGCTCTTAAAAATCTCCAATGATGGAGATTCCACAAGCTCCCTAGGCAATTTATTCCAGTGTTTAGTCACCCTGACAGAAGGATTTTCCAAATGTACAACCTAAACCTCCCTTGCTGCAATTTAAGCCCATTGCTCTTGTCCTATAATCAGAGGTTAAGGAGACTAATTTTTTTCTCTCCTCATTGTAACCTTTTAGATACTTGACATCTGTTATATCCCCTCTGTGTTCTCTTTTCTAGATTAAGTAATCCCAGTTCTTTAAATTTTCCTTCATAGGCTACCTTTTCTAGACCGTTAATAATTTTTGTTGTTGTTCTCTGAACCTTCAATTTGTCCACAACTTTCCTGAAATGTGATGCCCAGAACTTGACATAATGCTCCAGTTTTATGGACCAACACGATTGGCAACACAAATTAATTTGATGCTATTCTTTCTTTTTGTGATCTGACCTGATTTCTTGCATGGCATTTGAAATGTCTGGTAAGACTTACACTGAGTGTTGTAGTTAAGATCCTGGGGTGAAATATAGTGATAATAATAAGTAGAATTTACCTTTAGATAAGAGAAAAATTGAATATAAACACATTATTGCTTGGTAAGTTTATTGAAGCAACAAATTAATCTTATACAAGATAGCACTATACAGTGTATATTTTTTCCTCTCCACAGGGAGAAGCAGTGCGTATGTCTCGGCAGCTACCCTTGTATTTGTCAAAAGAGGATGTAGAGGACACAATTCACAGGATGAAGCAACAGCTTGGAAATGAAAATAAAGGCTGTGTTCATGGTCGTCCGTTTTTTCATCACTTAACAGATATTCCAGAAGTTAAATAACAAACACAAATCCAAGAAAGTTACTCAGTAAAATAGAACATTTTGTTTAATTTTGTATTTCTCCTCCTTAATTATGACCCATGCTCTGTATTGTCAGCCTGTTTTCTACAAAATTTTTATACAACAGCATTTTGGTTTCTTAAGTTCATCATCTTTTTGTTTTTTTAAAGTTTAGCTACTGTTTGTAAACTGAAAATAAAATATGAATAATGTATAGAGTATTTGTAACAACTCTGCCTTTTTCACATTAAGAATTTAATTAATGTTTCCAACTATCATGGTGTTTTTTCATGTTACATAATTTTGCTTTTAGAACATGTGCCTAAAAAACCTTTAGACCTCTTTAGTTTAACTTACTTGGGTGTACCTCTTAGAAGGAGTTAACTTGCACTGTTTTGTACATTACTCTGAATCTGATTTAAGTAATAGACATTCTGATTTTCTTTCCCAGATCTGAGGAGCTTGTGTCTCTTATCAATAGCATTCCAGAAAAAGATATTTCTCCACTCAGCTTGTGTCTCTAAAGAATAAAGGAATACAGGTTGAACCTCTCTAGTCCAGAATTCTCTGGTCTGGAAACATCCATTGTGCAGAATGATTTTAGTTAGCTGGATATCCACTTTTCATGGGTGTGGCCAAGTTTCCTGCGGTCCCATCAAATTTTGTTTATCGCCACCATTCCTAGCTCTCAGTGTTCTGTGCTGTTATTTAGCTCTAATTTATCCCTAAATATCCTCTAGCAGCCCAGTAAGCAGTGGAAGTGTTGTTAATACTGCTAGAAAATATTGACCTCCCATGGTCCAGAAAATTCTCTGGTTCAGCACCAATCAGATCCTGAGGGTGCTGGACTAGAGAGGGTCAACCTGTATAAAAGAAATGCAGTGTGCCAGCTTCACACCTGATATAGCTCCATTGACTTCAGTAGACTTGGACTTTGGATGAATTTGACTGATTAAGATGAGAGAGAAAAATTAACTGCACATCTTTTAAGTTATTTATTGTTATACATTATTCCCAGGGCTCGCCTGAACCCGGCTCTTCCAGGTTGCAATCTAGTCGCCCCGAGCGAGTAGATTGCATTATTTGTCAAGCCCTGATTATTTCCACCAAATATCAGATTTTGAAATAAAGGCTGAAACTGTACATATTTATTGTGACTCTACAATGCAAACATACCTGTGCTTGAAAATTTGGCTCAATTTTCTTATTGAAACTTCTCTGTACTGCACTACACTTGGAATGTGGGCCCTTACTTTTTCTTTGAGTAGTGAACCATACTCCTTCATCTTATACTGACAGCTCATGGTACATGTTTATAGATTTCAACCAAAACATATAACATTGTGCTTCAGCATTTGTAAATGACATCTACAAAAGAAGTAAATGCCTCACAAAGACAAAGTATCTTGACAGGAGGTGAGATTAAATGCTTCACATACCCTCAGTTATCCTGTTTCAGCATTGCTGCTATCAATAATTTAAAGCCAAGATTCCCAGACTTTGCCCATCTGAACTCTTTGACATCAGTTTGGTATGAGCCTGAGCATGGTTCTGAATTGTCATAGAATAGATCAGATCTCAGTTTGGCCTATGTTAACTTCGAAAGTATGGCCTATGCCATCTAAGTGACAGCATGCAATATTCCATCTTGCTGGGAGCAGCTGGACCACACTAGCATGCACTTGATTCACTTGATAGTGAATCTAAGGGTGTCTAAAAATGTATTTGCTACTGGGTTGATCTGCAAGTTAGACATTCCTGTTTAAACAGAAGGAAATCCAGGCCTGAAGGCTATAGAAATAAAAGAGAACTAATGTTGCTTCATCAACGGAAGAATACTTGGTACAATAAAGGGATGAGACAGGGCGAGATATGATTAGGTAGTCACATCTTCCCTTTCCATTTGCTAATACCTGGTATATAAAGGATTTAGCAACTGCAAAGGGGTAATAGCTGTCAGCTGGTTCCTCTGCTGCCTCATCACTTTCCCACATACATAGATACTCTGTCAAGAAGTAGAAATGGAGATACAAGAATGGGAGCAAATGTAAAGATGTTCAAGTGGAGAAGCTGTTGTGGAAGAGTATTAGAAGTCAGAGAGGAGGGGCTCCCTTATTAAAGCAGCTGTCACCATTCACAATGAGAGAGGTCCATTGGTAAATAAATGCCTTGCCTGAAGAAGAGGAGGGCTTTGATATCCAAACGCAAGGCCAGCTCCCGAGCAGCGGTTCCAACTGCCAACACATTGACTCTCACAACCCAGCTTCCTCCCATTGCCATGCTCCCCTGCAGCTCCTCACACTGTTGTGTCCTGACTAACCATCAACAGCCACAGAAACTGCTCCCAGATGCTGCTCATGGATGCATCACAGAGCCCCGCCTCTTGGCTCAGAGGTCTTGAGCTCTCTCACCCATGGGAGGGGTTGGGTTAGATGGATGCAGCTGGTAAGAGACAACTTCCAAAAGGGGCCGGGCACTTGAGGGCTATGCAGCTGTGGGGCCTGTTAATAGGAACAGCCACTGTTACAGGTGGGTTTTTTGCCAATATCCCCTCCAAGGCCAGTCACCTTGGTCTCCAACTGTTACCTTTTTAATTTTAAAACTAATGCAGCAGCCAGCGGAGTGATCCCCTTTCTGAATGGCCCCAGATAAGGCCAATCCCTCCCCTGTTGCCCTAGCTCTCATCTCTCCTGCTGCAGCTTTACTGTGCTCTTCCAGGCAGAACTATCAGATACTTATCATCCTGTTCTGCCTGACAAAGGTACTTGCTCCCTGCTGCTTCACCCAGAAAGGGCTGGCACTTCGTTGTGTGGGGGAGGTATGATGAGTGGCTGGTGCCAGAGCTCCTAGTGGTGAGAGCTGGGCCTTCTTTCCTGCCTTCACCCACAGATGGAACCAGCAGCATGCTGCCCTAGGGCCTTTCTGGCTGCCTGCTTCATCTGTCTCCTTTCAGAGGCCGATGGAGGTGAAGTACCCAGGAGAAGGCCCCTCCCCCGACTCAGGGTGTGAGGCAGCAGCTGAGGGGCACAGACAGGAGCCATGCTGGCAGGGGATAGATGGCTGCTTGGGGTAGAGCAGAGCAGAGTGGCTGGTGGAAGGTACGGGTGCTGTGTGAAGCCGAGAACTATTGAGTGCAGGTAAGAGGGAGGGCAGAGTGGAAAAACACTGGGAAGCGGAGATAACTAAAAAGTGAGGCTTCTGAGGGGCAGAGGAGGGTCTGTGAGAGATTTAAGCCACAAGAGGTGGGAAGAGGACCCAGAAGAGAGAAACAGAGCGCTAGGGCAAGGAAAGGAGGTGATTTGTTGGGGAAGAAAAGGGACCAAATCCAGGAGAGGGAAACACGCATGGAGTGGCCATGGTGATGAGACATGAAGGGTGGGGGACCTAAGGGTAGAGGTGTGGAACGAATGAGAGATGTTAGAGAATTTAGAAAACTAAACTTTATCTGAGCGATAGAGGCCCAGGAGGAAGAAAAGAAAAAGGGTATTTAGAAAATATACTCAACTATATTTGCCGTAAATGTCACAGGATCCAGGAGGCATAACCCTTTAGAATGAAGATGAGGCGGGAATATGGGGATTCAGGAGACAGTTGGCAGACCTCTTTGTAAATGGCAGATGGGTGGAGAATCAGGTGTTTCTAAGTACAGCAAACAGAAACAGAGCTTTGTTTAATTTGTTTATACTTTTCCCTGAGCTCAGACTGCTAGGCTCTGAATAGCAATCTCCAGGTATAGACCAAAGAACAAGAAAACATGATGCAAGCTGGGAAAGGGAGACTTCACGCTGTCATTTGAACCAGGCTACAGATATCTGGAGTTTTGATACAGATTAAACATATATATTTACATCTTTATTCAGCTTTTTGTTGTAACCATGTATGATTCAATACTTGGTGATTACCAAACTGTTAAGTTGTTTTTTTCAGGATATAAAACAACACATTACATTACAGATACTTGCATTTTATAATATATACTGAATAAGGATTGACACAAATGTTGTGAATTAAGATTTGAAACATTCATATAGTTATGATTAAAATGGACTAATGCATGATTTGAATCCCATTCAAAGATTTATTACAACCTTACAACAAATATACATACGTTCCATCTCACTTATGTGTAAATGATTTGTTAGACATCATAAAGACCCTTAATGTACACAGTAGTTAAGAGATTAAGATGTACAGTATGACAGCATTGTTATGCCAAATAACAGTAACTCAGGCCTATTATGAAAATAATATATTAAAGATTGTCAGCTAGTCTCAACCATGTAAGGTGGTTGCCATTTAAAAGTCACCATTTATCCATGTATTATTGTTACATTATTTTGTTTTAAATGTGCTATTGTGTCACAGGTACCATTATGATCTGCTTTTTTATCTTTAACTGTGAGCTCTTCAGGGCAGGGACTATTTTTTAAAGCTGCTTGTACAATGTGTAGCACAACAAGACCTTGATTCTGGTAGGGGCCATAAACATTAACAATCAATAAAAAATAATTCTAGAATGGAGAGCACTATATCAGTTTTCATCTCTATAATCTGGTCTGTCCTAATAGCAGAGTTTCTTAAATAGCAGGGAACACTAGGTTGTAAACAGGTTTTTCTCACTACTTTCCCTCAGTGCTAACCTTACCAGTAAGGATTTTCTAACAAAAGAAAAATGGCAAGGGCACATTTCTGTGAGTTTTAATATATTAAGATAATTGAAGATACAACAAGCTCCCTTTTTTGGGGCTTAAACTAGCTTCTCTGTAATTATACAAGATAAGCAATTGTCTAGACACAACTCTTGATATAAGCATCCTAAAAAGAAAGGGCTTATGAGATTCTGGAAAAGCACTTGTTATTTTATTGTAATGGTTTATTTACACAACACTTAACTTGCCATCTATCCAAAGAAGCAGAAGAAAAAAGGTGTAATGGAATCATTCCCCAAACTGGTCCCGACAGAATTGAATTAAGCCTGGTGGGCCCAATTAGCCAATTAAGCAACAAATGAGAGATTTAGGCTGTGTGGAAAGGCTTAATTAGAAAGACGCTCAGAGAACAGACAGGGACTTCTATAAGGCTAGGAGTTCATAGGCTTTCTCCCTGAAGTAAGGGGGGTGGGTGAATAGGAATCCCTGAGACCTAATAGGCCTAACAGAGAGGGAGCTGATCAGGCAGACTGGAGAAACATGGTGGGAAATAATTCTGGGGCTA